TCATTTACAGTTGTATCAAAAACAATAAAATACCTTGCAATCAATTTAACCAAGGAGGTAAAATAATACTCTGTACTTGGAAAATTGTAAGTCATTGAAGAAAGAAATTGAAGACAATTTAAATAAATGGAATCATAAACTGTGTTCATGGTAGGAAGAATTAATATCATTAGAATGTCCATAGTACCCAAAGCAATCTATAGATTCAATGCAATCCCTACCAAAATTCCAATGGCATTTTTCACAGAACTAGAACAAATAATTTCAATTTATATGAAATCTAAAAGATCTCAAATAGCTACGGCAATCATGAGGAAGAACAAAGTTGGAGATATCACACTACCTGATATCAAACTACACTACAAGCCTATAGTAATCAAAACAGCATGGTACTTACATGAAAACATACATAGATCAATAGAACAGAACAGAGCCCAGAAATACATCCATTTAATCTGTGACAAAAGAGACAAGAATATACAATAGGGTAAAGACAGTCTCTTCAATAAATGGTGTTGGCAAAACTGGACAGATATGTGCAAAAAAATGAACCTGGACCACCTTCTTACACCATGTACAAGAATAAACTCAGCATAGATTAAAGACTTAAATGTAAGACCTGAAATCATAAAACTTCTAGAAGAAAACATAGGCGATAAACTCTGATATTGTATTAGTAATTTTTTTTGATATATCTCCTCAAGCAAGGGAAACAAAAAGAAAAATGAACAAATGGGACTGCATCAAACTAAAATGTTTTTTCACAGAGGAAACTATCAACAAAGTGAAAAGCCAAACTACTGAATAGGGTAAGATATTCCTTTGTGGTAAATCTGATAAGAGGTTAATATTCAAAATATATAAAGAACTCATACAACTCAACAACAACAACAACAAAAATCGAATTAAAAATGGGCAGAAGAATAGATGTTTCTCCAAAGAGGAAATGTAGATGGCTAATAGACAGATGAAAAGATGCTCAAGCTCAGTAATCATCAGAGAAATGCAGATTAAAACCACAGTAACTGACACCTGTCAGAATGGCTATCATCAATAAATCAAAAAACAAGTGTTGGTGAGGATGTGGAGAACAGGGAGCCCTCATACACTGTTGGTGGGATTGCAAATTGGTACAGCCACTAAGAAAAAAGTTTGGAGGTTCCTCAAAAAATTTAAAACAGAAGTATCTAATGACTGAGAAATTCTTCTGGCTACTTATCTGAAGAAATCCAAAATACTAATTTAAAAAGATATATGCACCTCTATGATTACTGCAGTGCTTTTTACAAGAGCCACGATGTGGAAGCAACCTACATGTCCATCAATAGATTAATGGATAAAAAAGATGTGGTACATAAATACAATGGAGTATTACTTAGCCATAGAAAAAAATAAAATCTTACTATTTGCAACAACATGGATTGACCCAGAAGGTATTATGCTAAGTGAAATAAGTCAGAGAAAGACAAATACCAAATGATCTCACTTATATCTGGAATCTAAAGAACAAAATAAACTAATATAACTGAAACAGACTCATAGATAAATTTGATGATTGCCATATGGGGGGTAGGTTGTGGGGCTGGGCAGAAAAGTTGAAGGGATGATGAAGTACAAACTGGTAGTTATAAAATAGTCATGAGGATGTGAAGTACAGCATAGGGAATATAGTCAATAATACTGTTATAACTATGTACAGTGCCAGGTGAGTATTATCCTGGAGATAACTCTATAATAGCACAGACACCTTTCTCATTCCATTTTGAAAGGGATCCATTCAATGGATGTACCATGGTTTATTCAGTTTCCCAAAGTTGGACATTTGGAAAACATTTTTGTCACCAAACATTTCTATTAGAATAGGAGTCCTTCCTTATCTAATCCCAGCCCCTATTCTCATATCTAGAAGGAGAAAGCGATTTCTCCTTTTCAATGAGAAATGTGTACAGATGGTTAATTTGCTTTCATGACTCACCCGGATGTCAGCTTTCCCTGCGCTGGCAAGATCCTGACACTGTAAGTTGTAGCCTCCTTCCCAACTGGAGAGAATAAGCTGCCGAAGAATCAAGAAAGGAAGGTGGGGAATCAACACAAGAATTTGGACAAAACTGAATTTCCCATCCATATTTCTAATTGGGTTTGAGTAGAAACTTCCCAGGATTGAGTTTGACTCAATCCTGTCCTCAAATACTAATTATCAAATTATTTAATTCTTGCTATGAATTAATATCAATGGTTATATTTCTTAATATAATTTACTCCTGACCTTTTTAGAAATTAAATCTAAAAAGAATCAGGATTTAGCTATCATTTGAATAACAAAATATTTAGCGTAAGGAATTATCTTGTCATATGTTTCCACGAGTAAAATGTAGAATTAAATGTAAAGAAATGTGAGGAAATAATACTAAAATTTTAATAATATCTTATACTGGCTTATACATACATATTTATCTTATTTGATCGTCTTAATTTTATGAAGTGCATATTTATTATCATTTTACATATATGTAAACTAGGACTAAGAAAGGTTCTTAAGCCATTTATTAATTTATGATAACATGGTAATCAATCATTTATGTAACTGTAATTGGTTAATGTCTATATTCCCCATGATCAAAAACCAAAAAGCTCCATAAAATGTCTCCTTTTTTTGCTCATCTCCGCATCTACATTTCTTTGACCCATGCCTGGAGTATAAAAAGTACTCAGTAAATACATAAGTAAATGATTTGCTTAAGTGGTAGAACAATGATTGAAATTCAGACCTTCTCATTCCTTATCTAGTGTTCTTTCTACATCAACATAAGAAAATGTTTTTTATTCTTTGTAGAAAATTCTACGAAAGTTTTCTCCCTTCTCATTATTACTGAAGAAACTTAAAATTCTAGAATATAAGGTATTTGGCTTTGATTTACATAAATACTTATGTAAAACCTACTATTTTCTGTTGCTTATCAGAAATGGGTAATGGTATAGAACTATTAAAATATATATACAGAACAGGGAGGGATGGGATGATAATGAGCTGAACATTAAAAAGAGATGAACCATTAAAAACATTTAGAATGTTTTATAACCCTTGTCCTTACTCCACTATCCTGATAATAATTTTAGCAGTAATTTCCGGGACTAAGCAAACATCAGGCCAGGGCATAACAAATTAGCAAGATTAACTCATCCTATCACTTGACTGATGTCTATGGAATATACCCCAAAAGTGTCAAAGAAAAGACCTTATTTCTGCTCTGAAAGTTTACAATCAGAGGTGGCTAGGAGGCAAGTGACAGTAGTGATTTTTGAACCAAGAGATATAAAAGTGTGAGAAGAGAAACAGTCGATAAGCGGTGTATAAAATTCATAAAGGGGAATTTGCTCAGTGTAGATGTTCTCCCGAAAAGGCAGAAACCATTTACTTGGTGGTTCAAACACTAAACTGTTGTTTTTGTTCCTGTTAATGGTGACTAATATTCCCTTTAAAATGTACAAAGCCTTCCACACTTACTAACTCCTACTTATACTTGTCGGTGAGCATTTGAAGTACTGAAACCCTGTCTCTCTATCTCTGTATCCCCTGGGTTTAGTACACTTCATAGCACCTCCTAAGTGCTCACTGCACGTTAGCTAAACAGAACTGATTAATCCTCACATCTAACTCATGAGTTCAGCTGGACAAATATCATGTCTCCATTTCAAAGATAAGTTGACTAAGGTTCAGAGTAACTCCTAAGTAACTCCTCTAAAATTAGATAAAGTGACAAAGCTGACACATGAATTCAGATCTTCTGAGTCCACTACACCAAAGTTTCTGGCAGGTATTGGAGCTTCCAATATAGTCAGACCTACAGGCTGGCCCCTCTGATGCGGCTGCTACTTCTGACAACAATCCGATGAAGAGTATACAAAGAAATTAAGTCCATAAATTAATACCTCACATACTCTCCTAGTGAACTAAAATTCACCTAGTAAAGAATCTAAAATAAAAATTCCCTATTCAGAGTTAGGTAAATTAGCGAGCACCTATGTGTATAATTTTAGAGTTGTTGGCATGGCTTTCCTGACTCCAAATCCCACTTCCTGCATTCTGGCTGATGCCTAAAATTCCATGATTGCAGTTTTATTGCAGTTATTTAAGGTAATAGTTGTTAATCATTATTAGAATGGTGGATTTTATTAGACGAATGAACAGATTAGACTATGGGCGAGACGGCCTATATTTTAGTCAAGGATTTATTTTTTTTAGAATTCAAGGACACCAAGAAAACAGCTATACTTGTGCCATTAACAGCCATTTATAATTTATATGATTTTATCCTAATTTTTCCTTAAAAAGGTTTTATGTTTGTTTATTCATTCTCATGCTCATTCTCCCTCTCCCTCTCTCTCTCTCTCTCTCCTCCCCACCTCCTTCTCTCCCTTTCTCTTTCCATCGCTCCCTCCCTCCTTCCTAGGCCTTTGGTTCTAAGGCAGGACAATTTCTTTTTTTTTCTTGTAAAATTACTCGGGTTTGATACTTTACAAAGAAATGGGGAGTACATGATGTAATGAGGGCAGCTAGAGTTGAGCTGGAATGTCAACTCAGGCCTCCAGAAGTCAGTCCTGAGAAATAGCTATGGCACTATCACAGTAGCCTAAAGAGGCAGGGAGTATTCTTTAAGTATATATTTTAGTCAAACTAACTGCATTTGGTATTTAATTAAAAAAATACTCTTACTCAACAGCTGTTTATTCTCAGGCAAATCATGTAACTTTTCTAAGCCTCAGTATCATAATCCGTAAAAGGAGAAAATTATAACATATGATCTTTAAAGGCCCATTCAGATCTAAATTGTGTTTTAAATTACAATGAGAGACTCAGGGCCCAAGAAAGAGGCCTAAATTGGGATAAGATAATTCGAGTTAGAAACAAAGGCTTTTAGGGCTTTTGGAAGTAATAGTAATAATATCAAACGCTGGAACAAGTTCTCAAACTCTTAAAGAACAGTACTGATAACCTTGGATAGTTCCAGTGTGCTAGCTTTAATTGCTTCTAAAAATCTCTCAACTACAGATTAAGCTACATAAACACTTACCTCTGCCAGCATGTACATGGAGAGAAGTGTGATTCCGAGATTATACAAGGTAAGGATACCCTTTTTTTTTCTGTTCTTCATATATTTGTTGCCCAGCCATATTGAAAGTAGATATATGACAGTAAGAAAAAAGGTAGGAAGGTAAGAGTCCAACATGAACCATCCTCTGACTCGAGAATCTGAAAAGAAACACATGCAGTGAGAATCCTGAAGAATAACACTTCTGTTTAGCTATAACATATTGGCACATACATTTTATTTGCGCATATCAGATACAACAGAGAACAAAATGACACAGCATTAAAGAAGCTGAATTTGAGTTATTGTGAAGAAGAAGAAACCAGTAGAGTTTAAAGAAGGTTTCATGGAGCAAACAGGGCTTAAGGGGAATACTGAATGACAAGAAAAGGTAATGAAGGTGGAAAGTAACAGTTCTTGAATGTCTACTTTCGAACGATTACTGTATTTATTTATTCTAACTCAGTAAATATAAAGTATGTTATGCCATTTTATGGATGATAAGACAGCTCGGAAAGCTTTAGTAACTTGCAAAAAGCTACACAATAGTTGGCCGCAGAGTCAGGATTTAAATTCACATCTGACTTCTGGTGTGTCATACCTTGTTGCTGCCTCCTATGGAGAAGCTTCGAGGAGACAGGAAAGAAAGCATATTGATACTGTACCCTAATTCCTAAAACTCACACTCCCTGGAATTTGCCTAGGATTGTTGTGCAGTAAACCAGGAATGGGTTTAGAGTTCAGATGATCCAAACAGAGCAATGGGATGCAAGCATGACAGCTGAAGACAGTGAAGGCGAAGCCTGAGGGCTGATGGTTCAGAACTGAGAGTAGAAAATAAAGCCAGGGACCCAAACCTGACCATGCACTAGAAGTACAAACAGCCAGGAGGCAAGGACCTAAACATATCAAGAATGTCTTCCTCTGGAGAGTGAAAATTTAAAAACCTAAACAAAACATACATAACAGATCTATAATTAGCAACACCTGAAAATAATTGTAGGTACAAAATGACTTGTGTTCTCTATTTTGCTTTTTTAAAATTGTTGTTTAAATAAAGATAATGGTTTGGCCCAGAATTATAAAAATTGCATGCTGTGTTTAATCTGTCAGTACAGTTGTAAGGAAATGGTTTCTCCAAAAGATAATGCCCTTTTCTTGATATCTGTGGTTCTCCTAATCTCAGTCCCTCTTTCTGCTCTACCCTATTCCATCTACCCCAGTCTCTCTTTAAAACACCCCACCCTACAGAGTGCCATTGCTATGGAAAGTATCTTCTCAAGCTATACCTCATTACTTATTCTATAAACTTCTCCCATTTGTGATAGAGATAAAAAAGGTAAGAAAGGAACATTCATGTGATTCACAGATATTACCTTTCATACAATTAGCTCATAATTATCTGTCATAAAAGTTTGTGCCACTTCCTAATGTTTTTCTCCATATCTAAGTCCTACTCATCTCTTTAATACTCAGATAAAGGTACTGCCTTCTGAAGGGAGCCATTTCCTACTGTTCTTTTCGTAACTACAGCTTCTCATCAGCATGACAAAAAAATTATCATTTTATAATTTGTTATTATGGCTATATACTGTTATTATAAATAACATTTGCTGAGCACTAATTCTGTGCTATACACTGTTCTCAAGCCTTTTACATGTATTAACTTATTTAACTCTCAAAGTGATATTATATATATTATTTTTAACAGCTTTATTGAAGTATACTTGATTACACAGAATCCTGCACATATTTAATGTGTACAATTTGATGAGTTTGGACATATGTAAATATCTGTGATGCCATCACCACAGTTAAGGTAACAGACATATTGGTGATATTATTATCCCCAGTTTACATATGAGAAAAATTGAGCCACATGGGGTAAAAAAAAATTAAGTAACTTGCACTAACCAGCTATCTCCTTTTATGGAGTTATGGGTTGAACTGTGTTCCCTAAAAAGATGTTCCAGTCCTAACTTCTGGTATCTGTGATTATGGCCTTATTTAGAAATAGAGTCTTTGCAGATGTAATTAAGTTAAGATGAAATCATACTGGATTAGGCTGGGCCCTAACCAGGTGACTGGTATCCTTATAAGGAGAGATCTGGATTCAGGGACACAAAGAGAACACCATGTGAAGACAGAGGCAGAGATTAGAGTGATACATCTACAAACCAAAGGATGCCAAAGATTCCTGGAAACTACCAGAAGTTAGGAGAAAGGCATGGAACAGATCCTTCCCTAGAACCTCAGAGGGTGCATGGCCATGCCAACATCTTGATTTCAAACTTGTAGCCTCCAGAACTGTAAGAGAATAAACTGCTGTTGTTGCAGTTTGTGGCACTTTGTTACCGAAGCCCTAGGAAACTAATACACATGGTTTACTTCATGGCTTTCCAATTGTTTCAGATGTGCTAGTTTTACCCTCCCAACTACAGTGTATGCTCCATGAGAGAGAGACTAGGTCTTATATTTCTATTCTGTCTCACTTATAACATATCCATTTAATGCTGATTTGAGAGGAAACTGTCATTGAAGATATATCAATTGGCACACTGAGGTAAGCACATATTGAAAAACTAATACAGCACCTGAAGTTTTTCGTTTTCTTATTTCATGGTCCTATAAATATTTGCCACAACTGTTATGGAGGATCATAACTGTTCCAACCAAAGGATGGAACAAATACTCATGACAAGATTATCTCTGGGGCTTGAGAAGTGTTAGCTCTGCATCTGTGTCAGGTATTTGCCCAGAATATCACTTGATGATATGGTGTAGGTAAAATCAGAAAAGACTTGGGGACACCTAGAAGCTTACTAGGTGGCTTGTCAGTCAACTGAAGCTTGTGCCACTTTTAGGAAGGGGATAAGGATTTGTGATGACCTGGATGCCAGGCTATCTGTCATTGTGGAGATCACCTAGTAGTCTATTGGTGAACTGCCGACCTTACAGTCTCTTTTTCTACAAAGGAAATGTTCATAAAAATGACCAGAGCTGAGTAAATAACTGTAATCCAATCCTTAATTGATCCCATACTCACATAATTCCAGATCATGAAGATCTTACTGACAGCAAAGTTCAGTGTGAAGCTGGCTCAGGGAGACTTTTACTTAACTCACTAGTAGAAGTGTCAAATAGAAAGCCAATCACCAAAAAATCCTCCAAGACCAAGTTAAAGCATCATGCCCTCTACACTACCCACTAGAACTGTAAGGCAGAGATCATATTAAATAAAGTATGGTATGAGATATAGGTATCCTGTCCTGCCTATCCCAATGGATCATCACAAGGATAAAATAGAAAAAATAAAACCAGACTCTGTGAAAGCATTTTTTAAAAAGCCCTATATAATCAAAGAATATCATTTTATTAAAACTATATAGTCATTCACTTAGAATGACTTAGAATAGTTTACAGAGCCTGTATAGAAACTGGAGAGTGGGCTAAATAATCTTTAAGTGATTCTGTTTAAAGACTTTAGGAACAGGAAACATCATCTCCTCCCTCCCCTCACCCAGTAGTGCTGAGGAAATAACTTGCAGATTTTTCGCAGCTTTGTGAACCACCAAGGCTCAAGTAAAACAAAACATATTGTTTAGAATTTATTATTTGCAAAATATATAGGACTTAATATGTTCCTGGAACTGTAATAAGCACTGGAGATTAACAGTCATGGCTCCTGACCTCATGGGAGAAAGAGCTATTAATAACAATAATGTGTATGAAAGAAATAAACAGAGGTTGAAATAGAGAATAAGAAGGGGGCTCCTTCAGAAGGGCAAATTCCCTGATATCTTTGTTAAGGAAAGCCTACTTGAGAAGGTAACATTTAAGCTGATACCTGAAGTATGAGAAGGGGCTCACTATATTGCGGGATGGAGTAGAAGATAGTGGGGAGGAATTCCAGGCTCAAGGAGCAGCGTATGAAAGAATTTTACATATTTGAGGAAGTGAAAGATGTCAGATGTCAAAATGAATGAGGAATAATGGTGCTTACTGTTAGAGAAGCAGCTGGGGCTAAATAATCCAAGGGTATGTAGTCCATGATACAAAATCTGGTTTTTAATCCTAAGGACACTGGGAAGACACTGATAAGTGTTAAGCTAGAGTACCATATACTATGATTTAGGCTTTTAAAGTATTATTCCAGCTAACAATAAATGATTGGAAAAAGGGAGACTAGTTAAGATACCTTATAATGACTTAGTGCTGATTTTTAGTCATTAAATATACATCAATTGGCACACTGTAGTAGTCTAAGTGACTGGTAACGGAGGAATGACTGATAGCTTAGAATCTCAATCTAATGGCCCTGGGCAGAGAAAGCCCACACATATTTAAAGAGAATCTGTCAAGACTTGTAAGGGAAGCAAGACTATACATGACTATGCATGTGAGGAAGGTGGGGGTGAATGGGCAGTAGAGAGAGAAGTAGAATATATTCAGAAGGAAAGCTACAGCCTGCTTTGGTGGCCAGTTTTTAGTAACTTTGGTAGCTAGAGAGAGACACCAAAGGAAGTATTACACTGCATTCTATTCCTGCTTCCCACTCCCAGAACTTTAATCCCAAGAGAGGCTGAGCAGGAGAAATGAGGACTTCTATATATTCTAAGAGAAGGATAGCAAAGGTGAGGGAAGTTAAGTTTCTCAGTGTTAAATGCTGTTTTGAAGACACCAAAAGTGATATAATCTTCTGTAACTAAATACTGTGTTCCTTCCACATTAAGTTCTCAAGTAGTTCACTTACCTCGAGGTCCAAACATGTTGTCCAAAAAAGCATTGACTTCATCATCAAAAGCCTTTAGATGCTCCTGAAAAAAATTAAAAAATGATTAATTAAAAAATTAAAAATGATTTAAGTGGGTTTTGGAAACTCTCAGAAGAAACCACTATCAACAATGTACAGTTCACAGAATCTCCAAGGGTCCTAGCTTCAAGGACTTTTGACTGCAAAGACTTAAAAAAAGTAAATTAGTAAAAGTGGCCCCACCTCTCACAAGCCTATAAGGATTTGGAAGGAAACAATTCCTCTTTCATTTCCTTAGGCAAGAGGAGTCCTGAAAACAGGCTTTGTACATTTGAACATTGAAGAGTTATTGACTTTAATTTCATTTCCATCTAAAATGCTTAGGGTTATAAACACTCCCATAAGCAACTTCTATTGTTGCAGTTAATAGGAGTTGTATGTGACAGAGAAAGTCTATTCCTGCAGGATATAATGTAATTATTAAATGAAAATTCAGCTGAATTGTATCACAAAGCTGAATCTAAAGCTTTAAAGGGGGCTTGTTTTTCAAATAAGGAAATAAAGCATTATAGCCATTTTTTCCCATCACCTTTATATTTTATTTCCAAAACTTTTTAATAATTAGCATCTATTTAATATTACAATAAATGGTGTCACTAGGGTACAAATTATTGCCACTTTAACTGAATTCAAATTGGGATTGGAGAATTTTTGCTCAGATTCTTAAGGTTGATAAACTGGCTTCTGGCTCTTGATTTAGCTATTCATGCTGGTCTGCTATGACACTGCTCAAAATACCTAAGGTGTTCCCTAACCTTCTACAAAGGTCTGCAGCACCTTTTCAAGCAAATAAAAGATACAGAGCTTTCCCCAATGTTCCTGGGAAAGAGATCTTTGATGAGGATTTGGGGCCAATGGATTGGTCCCTGGCTATAGATGAGTATGACAACTCCCAGAAGTTCATAGAAAATGTTCTCTATGATCGATAGTGGGAGTGCAAAAATACCCCATTCTCAAAAAAAGTGTAAGTGCTAAAGAGGACAATTAATTTACTGGCATCTGAAAAGAAGAACTACATGTTTGGTTACTGGCACACACCATTTGGACCTATTCCTTATTGGTGACTTTGATCCTGAGAAATTAATTTTTCTTTTTTATTTACTTTGGAAATAATTTTTTATTTTTCAATTATAGTTGACATACAATATTATGTTAGTTTCAGGAATACAGCACAGTGATTAGGCATTTATATATCTTATGCTCACCTGATAAATCTAGCACCCATTTCTGTGTTTCTGTTTTGTTTGTTCATTTATTTTGTTTTTAAGATTCCACATAAAAGTGAAATCATATGACATTTCTCTTTCTCTGTCTGACTTACTCCATTCAGCACAATACCTGTAGGTTCATCCATGTCATTGCAGATGGCAAGATTTCATATATATATTTTGGCTGAATAATAGTCCATTGTATATATGTACCACATCATCTTTATCTAGTTATCCACTGATGAACACCCAGGTTGACTTCATATCTTGGCTACTGTAAATAATGCTGCAATAAATATATAAATGCATATGTCCCTTTGAAGTAGTGTTTTGGGTTTCTTTGTCCTTTGGTAGAGCCTTTGTTTTAAAATCTATTTTGTCAGGTGTAAGTATTGCTACCCCAGCTTTGTTTTTCTCATTTTCATTTTCATGAAATATCTTTTTCCCTCTCTTTACTTTCAATCTGTGTATGCTTTTTGATCTGAAGTGAGTCTCTTATAGGCAGTATATGTAAGGGTCTTGTTTTCTTATTCATTTAGCCACCCTATGTCTCTTGATTGGAACATTTAATCCATTTACACTAAAAGGAATTATTGATAGACATGTAGTTGTTGCCATTTTATTATTTATATTTCTCCTCCTTCATCTTTTTAACACTTCCTTTAGCTTTTTCTTGTTTGGGAAGCTCTTTATCTGTCCTTTGATTCTAAATGATAGCTTTGCTGGGTAATCTTGGTTGTAGGTCCTTGCTTTTCCTCATTTTGAGTATTTCCTGCCAATCCCTCTAGCCAGTCAAGTTTCTGTTGTGAAATCAGCTGACAGTCTTATGGAGCTCCCTTGTAGATAACTAAATATTTTTCTTGCTGTTTTTAAGATTCTGTCTTTAATATTTGGCATTTTAATTATGATGTGCCTTGGTATGGGCCTCTTTGAATTCATCTTGTTTGGGACTCTCTGCCCTTCCTGGGCTTGTATGTCTATTTCCTTCACCAGGTTGTCTTTTCTTTAAATAGTTTTTAAATTTTTTGCTCTCTCTCTTTTTCTGATACCCCTATGATGAGAATGTTTTTATACTTGATGTTGTTCCAGAGGGCCCTTGAACTAGTCTCACTTTTTTGGATTCTGTTATCTTCTTGCTGTTCTGATTGTGTGTTTTCTGTTACCTTATCTTCTAAACTGCTGCTTCAGTCCTCTGCTTCATCTACTCTACTATTGGTTTATTCTAATGTATTCTCCATTTATTATATTTCATTTCTGACTAGTTCTTATTTTCTGTCTACATTTTTATGTTTCTTGTCTCTTTGTTGAAGTTCTCACTGAGATCTTTGAGCATCCTTATAACCAGTATTTTAAACTCTGGTAGACTCCTTGTCTCCATTTTGTTTTGTGCTTCTTAAACTCTGGTAGACTCCTTGTCTCCATTTTGTTTAGTGCTTCTTCTGGAGCTTTGTTTTGTTCTTTCATCTGGTACATGTTTGTCTCCCCATTTTGGCTGCTTCCCTGTGTTTGCCTTTATGTATTATGTAGAATATGCATCCTGTGGGGCCCAGTAGCACAGTCTCTCTGGTCACCTGAGCTGTGTGCTATTGGTATGCCCCTTGTTGGGGTTGTGTGTGCCCTCCTACTATATTTGAGTCTTGGTTGCTGTTGGTATATCAATGGGAGGGATTGACCTTCAGGCTGATGTGTTGTGAAGACTGGCAGTAACTACAGTGGAGAAGCAGGGGCTGACCCTATGGAGTAAGATTTGCTTTAGCAGGGCTCTGGTGCCTGCCCAGTCTGCCCTTTAGGTGTGTCATTTGTAGAGGTGTTTGGGTAGTACTCTGATGTGGTTTGAAGCTAGCTACTGCATGTGTTGGTTCTGGGGCCTCTTGGGAGGGGCTCTGGTGCAAGACAAGGTCACTTGGTATGAGCTACAAAGTGATCTGCAGATGATTGCTACTTGTGCTGGGCTTGGAGTTGCCTGGGAGAGACTAAGCTGTGAACCAAGGCTAGCTGCTGCTAATGTTGGGCTTGGGACTACTTAGCAAGAGGTACAGGGCATACCCAGGCCAGATGCTGCTTGTTTGGGTACGTGAACCTTTGAGAGATTTTAGAAAAAGCTAAAGCATGAGCCAAGACCGACCATTTGTAAAGAACTGCCATTCAAAGTGGATTGGGTGGGCCTGCAAGTTGGGTGGGGTAGAATCTCAGAGAACCATCAGGGAAGAGGGGTCAATGGTGTTATGTTAGCTAGGCTGATGGAGATTGATATATCACGTCCATCTACATCTGAATGCTGGATAGTGGGAGGGCTCAACAAAAGAACAAGGGCTTCTGCTTGCACTTCTTCTGGGAGAAAGCTGCCCCTCTAGCCCTTGCCCTGAAGCCAAATAATTCAGTTCCTCCCTATATTTCCCTGGGGCCTTTCGAGCTGCTACCCCAGTGCTGGAGCTCAGAGCAAGTGAGTCTGTTAGCGAGAAAGTCCATGGACAAGTAAGTCCCTGCACAGGCCCTTTAAGAGGAATTCCTGGGACTCCAGAAGCCTTCTGCCTCACTCAGCCAGAGTCTCAATTGGTTTTCACAGCCTAAAGTCTTGAGGACTTCCCTCCCTGGCACTGGAACCCTGGGGGGCGGTGCTGAGTCCCCTCATTCTTCACAGGGGAACCCCCTCAGCTGAGATATTCCTCCCAAATTTTAACCACCACACTGTGGATATTGGATAATCCTGAGAGAAATTTCAAGGAAACTTAGGTCTTTGGGAACTTTAGGAAGGAGGATGAGGAGTAGAGACTAACATTTATTAGTATCTACTACTGCTGGCCAGTGTATTAGAAACTTTATTATTTCCTAATATCTCTATAAAAAGCACCTGGGCTAAACAAAGCTTGGAAGTTTTTAAACAGTGTTATCTTTAGGTTCTATGAAAGATATCTCTGGAGACCTCGAGAAAGGTCAGTTACTTAACATCTCAGTGTGACAGAATGTGATTTTTGTTGCCATTAGAACAGGGCAGATCTGTCTAGATCTCTTATTCTTGAGCAAAATATGTTAACCTTACTGATGTACCCATCCTCATACAAATACCAATGAAATCTGTCTTTCATTGCCACATCCACCCACAAATGTTTAAGCTTTTTCAGTATATTTGCTAAGGTTCAAAATCCATTTTCCAACATCTGTAGATCACAGAATACTCAATTAAAAGTCAGAAAGCTTGTATTATTTCTATAATCTTGCAGAAATGCAGTCACAGTGGAAGAGCAGAAAGAAAAGTGAGAGAGGATGATATGAAGAGAGAACAGAGAAAGATGAATGAGAAGGGGCATTCCATTCTTTTCAGTTTAATTTACTGATTCATTAACCAATTACCTAACATTACTATGTGCAAGCACCATGTTAGATGGTGAAATACAAAATCAAATGAGACACGGTACTTATCTTCACATAGCATAATAGAGAAGTAAAGCAATAATTACCTAGTGTCTTAAATATGATGAAAGAATTTTATAGATATATATTGTAAGAACATAGAGGAAAGAAATATTCATCCATAAAAAAGAAGGAAACATTGCCATTTTTGACAATATGGACAGACCTTGGAGGCATTATGCTAAGTGAATAAATAAGTCAGAGAAATATCATATGATCATATATGGAGAAATCTAAAACTCAGATACAGAAAACAGATTGGTGGTTGCCAGAGGCGGAGGGTCTGTGTGTGGGAGGTGGACCAATGGGTGAAGGTGGCCAAAAGGCACAAACTTCCAGTTATAAAACAGTTAAGCCATGGACATGTACAGTTGGTGACTATAGTTAATACTTTATATTTGAAAGTTGCAAAGAGTAGATCTTAAAAGTTTTCATCACAAGAAAAAATATAACTATGTAAAAAGATTTATTGTGGTGGTCATTTTGCAATATATCAAAATATCAAATCATTACATTGTATATCTGAAAGAAACAAACAAACACAAAGGACATAGAGGTAGGAAATTTAATTTAGATCTCTTAAAAAGAGAAGCCTGCCAGGAAGAGCTGCTGTTGTCGCTGAGTTTTGAAAGACTCTAGGGCATCATCTAGATGGAGAAGGAAAGAAAGAGCATTTGAAGGAGAAGGATCAGCATATACAGGTACACTGACACATGACTCATCTGGGAAATGGTAATGGCCAGGGTCTCTACTGACCTATTTGACAGAAATAAAGTCAATGCTTAGAAAATCAGAAACCTGAAAAAATTACTTCTTTATTTCTGGGTTATTTAATAGTTAGTAAGGAATGTAGTCTAAAGACAATGATCAGATGAGATCAGAAGAACAAATCAAAATTTACCCTGGATTAGTAAAACATAATTTTAAGTATAGAGTTTTGGTAGTGTTAGTTAATAACTAAGGATGAATACTTAGCAAAGGATGACAGAGCAGAGTTTCGGCAATGAATAACTAACTGTATACTAGTTTCTATACGTGTAAATGCAAAAGCATGCTGGACAATTTTCAAGACTAACACCTATGATCTAGGAAAAACCAGCACTTCATTCATTCAACCAGCATCTTTGAATAGTGACTGTGTACACAGTACTTTGTTGGACATTTGAAGAAAAAAGGGATAGAGATAGTTAACCAACGCAAAAGTTTACAGACAAATTGGGAAAGTGAAAAATACAAAGGCAAACAGAAAACCATTGAGAGGGAGATACAGAGAACTGCCACAATGATGGAGGATTTAGGAATGGGGACTTAAGATGGGGTTTCAAGATGGTTAAAATTTGGACAGATTAGGAGAGAGAGAGAAATAGTACTGCCCTTAGGCAAAAGGGGTGTTCTCCTGAACTCAATGCTTTAGACAGCCCCACTCTGTCATCCTTTGGCTATACCCCTCCACACAGAGGGAAAAATCCTTTGAGACAAGGGACATGCTTATCTATGGTCACAGCTTCCCCTCCTCCAGACAATGTTTCAAGTACCCCAGCCCACAGAATTCTTTGCCAAAATTCTCTGTGCTCACGACTAGGACAACTTCAGTGATTTCTCCTTGCCCACATAGTAAAATCCATGTTTTATGACTTTGAATTCCCTTTGTGGCTGTTTATAGCAATAGCTGTAGGATGGAAAGATTGGAAGTAAGTAGGGCCTTATTTAATTGTGTATTCCTGATTGCTTATCACATCTGGCAATAATGGAAAAAAAATAATATAAAAAAGTGATGTACAATCACATTGGAAAAACAGTTTAGCAGTTTAGTAAAAACATAAACATTCAACTAGGATCTAACATGCTACTCCTGGGTATTTAAAGAGAAAAAAAAGCATATATCCATACAATGACTTATACACAAATATTCATGGGAGCTTTACTTATAATCACTAAAAAATGAAAACCTCCTAATTACTCATCAACGGGTTAATGGATAAACTGTGGTATAGCCATACAATGAACTACAACTCAGCAATATAAAGGAGTGAACTACTGATGCACACCCGTAGATGGATCGCAAAATTATGAAGCTTCATTAAAGAGGCTAGACAAAAAGAGTACATACTATATATTTCTACTTACATGAAACTGTAGAAAATATAAACTTCATATGACAGAAAGCAAATCATGGTTGCTTGGGGACTTCAGGGGAGGGGAGAATATTTTTCAAAAATGAGGGTGAAATAAGGATATTTTCATATATGCATAAGTGAGAGAACTTGTAGCTAGGAGACCTGCACTACGAAGTGTGTTCAAGATGTTCTTCATGCTGAAGAGAAATGATTTTATATGGAAAGTAGCATTTACAGAAAAGAATCAAGAACACCAGAAATGCATTTGACTGAAGAGCCATAACTCAGAGCAAGCTGGCCTCCACTCACCTCACCACATCCACTATAACTGCCATAACCACCTCTCGCACCATGTTCATCCTTACCACCAGGAGCAGTGTTGCATAACACCACGGTGATCAGCACCTGCTCCTTCTACCTGGTCATGTGACACCCAACTCCCAAGACTGGTGGATTGGACCACCATGCACTCCTGCCTCAACCGTTGTTTTCTGAGAATACTGGGAAATAGGAGAGCCATAAAGTGCACACCTAGGTTTTTGCCACCATGATGCTGACTGGGATTCCCACTCAGCCCTAACTGCATTATTTGGAGCTCAACATGAAGCAGGGCATCTCAAAGAAAGCCATTTCCTGGTCTGTTTGTGAACATACAAACTCTGTGATCGCTGTTGGTACAGCCTCATCCTGAACACCGTGACAACTCAGATTTTCTTCAGCAAAAGTAGTCTTGCAATCAGAATTGTCAGCACCATGACTAAGGACTATTTTACAAAAGCTAAAACAAGAAGCAAAGCAGAAATAAACCCTACTGTGAAAACTCGGTCTGTGGTTTCTCTAATCTCTAAATGATAGAACTCCAGATTGTTTTTAATTCCTTTCCTCCTTCCCTCTTTTCTCTCTTGCTACTTCCCTTGTTCCCTCTCTTACGTTCTCTATTCCTTTCCTTCTCCCCTTTACTGCCTTCATTCCACTTTTCCTTTCCTCCCTGCTTCCTTCCTTTCCTCCCTCCTTCAGCCATTCCTTCATGTTTAGGCATTTTGTAGTTTTTGGTATGTATCTGCCATAGGCATCATGTTGTATAAAAATCCAGTGACTCAAAATCTTGGTGTTAGTCCTATTTTGTTGATATAATTTTATAGAACATTTTTAGCGACACTTATTTAATCGAAATAGTTATTTCCCACCACCAACTACCTTCCTCACTGCTTTTTAAAATGAGCCAAAGCCATTAAGATAACAAAACTGACTGTTAAGTTTGTAAGAAGACATAGTATCCGAACGCTTACTTCAGTCTCTCATGTATTTGAAGAGTCAAAATGTGTTCACACTTGTGAACACAACTAGGAAGTTTGGAGGATGGCTAAAAGACAAAATTATTTGGCTTTCATGCAGTTGACTTCACATGATATATATTTATGCTTATTTTACACTCATACCCCTAAACTGCCTTTGAGAGGCCAACCCACACAACATCTTGACCTCCCCCTACTATACTCCGGAGGGAGCAATACACTTAGTTAGGTTGAGGGTAGGGAATAGGTATTTATTTATTCATGGTAACTCTAAATTGTTATGTTATAGAATAATTTTCATAAGATTGAAACTAAGGTATTGAAGAATCTGTGGAACATTTATACTTGGTTACCACATTTCATGACAGATATAAATTGAAGGATAGCAGAATATACTACCCCAAAATATGCCACTTTTTGAATTAAAGTTACTTAAGAAACAACTGGTACAGGAAGGACACTGACCCTCCTTTTTCCCTCTAAAAGCAGGAAGTAAATCTCCCATGTGAAAAGGGTAGAAGGCATCCTTATCACCAGACAGGGATTTTAGGGAAGAAGGCTATATAAACAAGCCTTGTTACTTCATTAATTTGCTTTTCCAAGCCTAAACCCCTTTGTCTTATTGATCTTTCACAAACTTATTGTTTCCTTGTGTTAAAGGTATAAAAGCTGCCAGCTATGGACACTCTTTGAGTCTCATATTCTTTATGGTGCTCCCATACATATGAAATTAAATTTTTCTCCTGTTAACCTGTCTTATATCAATTTAATCAGGACAGTCAAAGTATCTAGAAGGAAAATGAACTAACTATAATAGTTGGTAATAATAGCTCCTGTCTAACGATGTGTGCCAGACATTTGATATTTATTATATATGATTTTTACAAAAGCTTTTCAATTTGCAGAAATTGAGGCTGTGAGCTCCAGTGGTACTGTTGTGTGAAACTTGAATAAAGTTCAGTAACAATCCATCTTTGTATACCTTCAGATTGAAAGGCTTCAGAGCTGGGATAGCAGAGAATGGGCTTTGGCAGAGCTCACGCTCATGTTCTTGTGCTGTAGTACATCTCAGGACACTAAGTTGATGAAGAAAATAGGGGCTGATTTTATCTGCATTCTTGGTAACTCTGACACTGCAGGGCAGTCTCACTCAACGGAGGACATGAAGTCTTCTTTAGGACATAAAATATTACTGCAGCTTTGTTATATTCCACTTCCCCCACATCGTTCCCTATCTCAAGTCATTCAGTATCTAGTCAAATAGCAACTCCTTACATGTTTCCCTGATCCATGTCTCATGGGCCTAATTACAAAGAGGAAAAAAGCATCTGCTTTGTGGCATCCTAGTCTGTGGTGCAGAATCATTCTCCATTTTCTTACCTACTCTATTTTTCCTTACAGCACTTAATCTACATACAAATTTCCACCAGCTGATTAATTTTATTGTCTGGGTCCTCTAATAAATATAAGCGTTAATAGTCCATTTTATCCTCAATTCTAAGAACAATACCTGGCACAAAATGGGCACTTCATATTTATTATACGGATTAATGAAACTCTCTTCTAAATCTTCACGGTAGTCACTTGATATTTACATTTATTGCATCCTTAGCTATACTTTAATATATGTGATCTGGCTTCCAATATATTTTGAAAGATCCTTAACACTCAACAATCTGTATATCATCAGGGAATACTGAACCCATTTTATTTTTTTACTTTCTTTTTTTGATGTTTCATTCTTCCAAAGAATAAAGAAAAAATCTGTTTATGTATTTTAAAAATAGAAAAAACTTATTCTATCTTGCAGTTAACATATGAATCCAGTGGACCCCTTTTATAAATCTAAGACACACTATGGGATCTTAGTAATCTTATTTTTCTATATCTTAAAACATTTTGCTATTTAACCAACCTAGGAATTATGTCATCATTTCAATCCATACTAAAAACATTTAAAAATATAAAAATGTAAGAATGATGGAATTGCCTGGAAGGACAATGTAATAGTCAAATAAGCCATCACTATTATATTGTCCTTCATTTTTCTTATTACTTACCCAAATTACTGCATCGTGCCTTAAGAAGATATAGAAGGTTGGAGACATCATGTTTATAGCTTTATAAAGCTTTCATTGAATACATTTAAAGTTCAGAGTTTTTCATGTCCTTAAACTTTAATGATCAAGTCACCTGAGGACCTTGTTAAAATACAGACTTTCATTCCATTAGTCTAGGAGGGGCTCGAAGTTTGCATTTCTACCAAGCTCCCAAGTGATGTCAATGCTACTGATCTACAGACCACATTTTGAGTAGCGATGATTTAGACCCAGATTATCAGTTTAGCTATTAGTTTTCTGATGTACTTTTACTATAAAACTACTGCATTCTTGCTTACTTTTTACAAATCTACAAAGTATTCTGTTTTTCTTCTCTATAAAATTCAAATGTTTTATACTAATTATATCACTATTCGTTTCACAGGCATTTTAGTAATTGTCTATACAAACCCACTTAGTCAGTGTCTACATTGCTCCAAACAGAAATAAAATCATAGGTTTGACTGTATTTTTTCTTACATTTTCTGTATCTGAATACAATTTCTTGAAAGTGGCTTACTCAAGGAGGAGTGCAGAAAGACTGGTGGCCTCTTTTGATCAAGCTATTATTTCTATTAAAGTATAAGACTGCATTGGCACATTGCATCAGTTAGTTCTTGTCAACAAATATCATCTAGAACTTTTGTTACTATCAAATTCAAGCCCTACCAATCATAGAACAGATTTTTAAAAAAACTTAAATACAATTTTAAACTTTTATTACTTTTGAATTTATCTTCTTCATTTCAGCCCCACCTTTGCACTCGGATAAGATTATCCAAATTTCTAAATATATATTTGTTGTCCCTTTAGCTTTAGTATATTTTAAAACTTTGGTACCAATATTCAAATTACTAATAAAAAGTTGCATAATCTGGATGTTATAGACTGAATTTTTAAAATTTTACATTAGTTTCAGATATATAGTACAGTGGTTATACATTACATAATTTATGAAGTGATCCCAATTAGTCTAGTACCCACCTGACACTAAATGTAGTTATCACATTATTGACTATATTCCCTATGCTGTACTCTATATCGCTGTGACTATTTTGTAACAACTAATTTGTACTTCATTCTTCACCTTGTCACACAGCCCTCAACTCCCCCTCCCATTTGGCAATCACATCTGTTCTCTATAACTGTAAGTCATTTTCATTTAGTTTGTTTCTTTTGTTCCTTGGATTCAGCATATAAGTGAAATCATATGGTATTTGTCCTTCTCTGACTTATTTCACTCAGCATTATATCCTCTAGGTCCATCCTGTCATTGCAAATGGCAAAATTTTATTTATTTCTGGCTGAGTAATACTCCATTGTTAATATGTGCCATAATTTATCTAATCATCTATTGATGGACCCTTAGGTTACTTCCATATCATAGCTATTGTGAATAGTGTTGCACTGAACACAGGGGTCCATAAATCTTCTGGAGTATTTTGGTTTTCCTTGGATAAATATCCAGAAGTGTGATTGTTGGGTCGAAAGGTAGTTCTAATGTTTTGAGGAACCTCAAAACTGTTTTCCATAGTAGCTATACCAATTTGCTATCCCACCAACAGTGGCCAAGAGTTCCTCTCTTCTCCACATCCTCTCCAACACTTGTTTGTTGACTTATTGATGATAGCCATTCTGACAGGTGCAAGGTGGTAGCTCATTGTGGTTTTAATTTGCATTTCTTTGATGATTGGTGATGCTGAACATCTTTTCATGTATCTACTGGCTATCTGTGTGTACTCTTTGGAGAAATGCCTATTTAGGTCCTCTGCCCATTTTTTAATTGGACTTTTTTTTTTTTTGGTGTTGAGTTGTAGGAGTTCTTTATAGATTTTGGATAGTATCATAGGCAAATACCTTACCCTATTCAGTAGTCTGGCTTTCCATTTTGTTGATGGCTCCTGTTGCTGTGAAGAAACTTTTTAGATTGATGTAGTTCCATTTGCATATTTTTTCTTCTCTTTTTTTCTTTTCTTTTTTTTGTTTCCCTTGCTCAAGGAGATATATCAGAAAAAAATTACTAATAGAAATATCAGAGTTTGCTGCCTATGTTTTCTTCTAGAAGTTCTATGGTTTCAGGTCTTATATTTAAGTCTTTAATCTATGTTGAGTTTATTCTTGTATATGGTGTAAGAAGGTGATCCAGATTCATTTTTTTGCACATATCTGTCCAGTTTTGCCAACACCATTTATTAAAGAGACTATCTTTACCCTATTGTATATTCTTGTCTCTTTCATCGTAGATTAAATGACCATATAGGTATGGATTTATTTCTGGGCTCTGTTCTGTTTCATTGATCTATGTATCTGTTTTCATGCCAGTACCATGCTGTTTTGATTACTATAGCCTTGTAGTGTAGTTTGATATCAGGTAGTGTGATACC